ATACTTCCTGTATACAGGAGTTCTCTCCCTTTTGATTAATACAATTTACCTTATCAAAAAAAAACAAGGTTGATACTGTAACTTTATAACACTAGAATGCAGCAAAATAGTTCGAGAAAACATCATTACTGAATAGATGATGACATTAAACCTACTTCTTTGAAACATTCTTGACAAGAATGCTATAAATAAATAAATAATGTATGCTGCACCCCCACAAAGAGAAAACAACAGGAAGAAGGAAAGGTAAGAGAAAAGGGTAACTTATAAGTTAAATTCAGATTCAATACCTTTGTTTCATGCCCAGTGAAAATGACAGCCCCAACAATGTACTCGGTGTTTCTCAGACTGCACCCCTGGAAGAAATACAGCGATATCAAGAAAGATGAAGTAAAAATTCACCAAATGTACTATAAATTAGAGAAGAAATATCACAACTTAGCAGACAAAAGTTCAAATATAAGTCATAAAAGGGAATGGACAAGATAGCAGGTGAATAAATGGCCAAGATCAGATCATGGTCTGCTAGGATATTTGCTCAAAGATGCATTTATCGTGAACTATAACTAAGACACAATATATGCAGTATTTTTTCTCTTAATCAGTATATACCAATTCAATATTTAAAACCAGAACCATAAAATAAACAAATGGGGAAACAACATAAGAAATGCATACCCGTAAAAGAAGTTGATTTGGACTGAGTGGCAAGGTTTGCTTTTGAATTATCAAATTGCCAGTGAATGTGTACAATGAGTTATTAGGTTGCTCACATTGTACTTCGCCTGTTTAAAGAGAAATGCAAGAGAACATCAAGCACGCAATATTATCAGAGCAAGATCTTCCTAAAGTTGCAATCAGATTGGTCAGGCCTCTACAGAAAAAGCATTTGATATTTGTCATCATAATTCTGATATACAATAAGCAATAACATCTCTTCTGGGAAGAATCTGTGAGAGATCACGATACACATGGTTGCACATCTTAATTGTGTTTAAACAGCATCCTTCATTAACATATTTAGATAAGTGAATATACATTTTCATCAAATGTAATAGTCCTTGAACAATGGCTTGACTTGTGCACTTCATGCTGAGATCTGAAGATTTATCAACCATATATGAGCTTAGATGTGAAGTAGTTGTAACTAAACTGCAATTACTGGTGTTATGAAGTGCATTTTACTTTTTAAAAAAAACCAGCTATAGGATTTGTCCGCTAATAATTTGAGTCCTAACTTTTCATGGACTGAACACAAATCTTACGCGTCAAAGGATATCTATCAAGCAGAAAGCATTGGAAAATCTGGAAAGAAGGAATTCAGCACGTCTATTTCAGGCTATATGCTACAACTAGATCTTCCAATGGATTTGAAGTAATTTCATAGCACTTGTACAACCAAATGTCGATATTACATGCATTATCTCGCATAAATATTTGATTGGTCAACAGCAGTAGAGAACCAAACCTTTGAATTCAGATACTTTCTCAGGAGACACATAATCCCAGGTCTTCTCCAGTGCTTTTCTGATCTTTAAATTAGTTTCACCGTCCAAATTCGCCGTCTGAGGAAATCCATGTACCAGTTAGGAGAGAACATGATGGAATAGATGAAAACCAATACATTTATTTCTGACATTATCCAAGTACCTCTTTTCCAAATAATTTAGAGCAGCCAATCTTTTATCACAAGTAAAAAAAAATCAGATAAGGATCAAGTACAACCTCAATGTAGCAGACTCCATCTGGGTTTGTGCTGGAAAGAAAGATAAGATCTGCCGGGAAGAACTCATCCTGCTTAACCTGCAAGAAAAAGGGTAGCTTGTACAACCTTACATTCTTCGAACAATTTTCTTCAGAAGCTTGTATAAAATTCCTTCAAATTGCAAAAGCTACTTTTGAGGAACCGAACTGAAATCCTTCCCAACTCAACATTTAGGGAGGAGTGGGTGGAAAGCATTTTCCATTTGTGAAGTGTGCATCCAAAATGTCAACCACATCAGTGATGGCCTATCCCCGCGCTGAAAGGACAATGCAAGCTGAACAAGCAGACTGTATTGATCTTACAACTCTCCAAATTCAACAGCAACAACAACAACAACAAACCTAGTGTAATCCCACAAGTGGGGTCTTGGGAAGGTCATGTATACATAGACCTTACCCCTACCTTGTGAAGGTAGAGAGGCTGTTTATGATAGACCCTCGGCTAAATTCAACAATATTTAAAACATAAAATTCTAAATAACTGGTGGTCCACGCTCCTCAAATTCTAGAGCTTAACCCATCGTTCAAATGAATGATATAGCTCAGGCTTATCCCTTGTTTTATAAAAAGAAAGACAGCTTTATTGAGTCGTTGCTACCAATTCAATACCATGAGGAGCCACCGCCACTGAATTATTACTGGGATGGACTTCTTGAATAAGTATTCTCTTATTTATTTAACAACAACAACAACAACAACAACGACCCAGTATAATCCCACAAGTGGGGTCTGGGGAGGG